TTGTCTGAGCAAGTCTTGGAAACCTCTCATCTGTTCTCTTAAAAAACCCCCACCGGGATATGACGCCAGATCCAGAAGGCCACACAGGCCATGACCAACCAACATAACAACCCCCACCCCTCAGCTCACGGGTGGTGCCCAGCCTTCAACCTCGCCTTTTCTCTCCCCTACACAAAAACCACGCTTGTCCTAACTCCCTTCCCCAACCCCTCCCACACTACTGCTTTCACTTGTATACTTGCCCTTCCCCCTTCTCCCTCACTGCTCTCACATAGCTGTGTATTTTTCCACAGTCTGCTTTTACCGGTTCTCATGGTCTCTTTGCTTGCAGATTCTTATATATTTTTTTCTTCTACCCTGAAGATGGAGGCGATACGTTCCTCCGAAACGTCGGTTAACACCACATATACACTGTCCCAAATCCCAGAAGACTGCTTTCTTCATGCTATATATTGTTTTATACTGACTTCATCATAAAAAACTGTAAAGAGGATACATAAAATGCTGGATTCATATTCAGAAGATGCTTTGCTCAGTTCTTGGTTGTGGCACCACCTGTCCTGAAGGAGAGTTTTGTTATTCAGACTTCAAAATTGAATGCTGGGATAGTACACTGAAATGAATCACTTCTGTCTTCCCTGGTTCACCTTATAGAAATAGCCTCTCATCTTATTTGATATTGTCATGTGTGTGAGTAATTGTAGATGGGGTTTGGAATGGTAGTTGAATTTAATGAACACTTATAGTTTGTAACTACAGTACTATGGCTAGTTGAGATGCCCTGCAATTCATTACAGCATGCACTAAGTATTTTAAGTCTGCTGTGTCTTCACCAGTCATTGTCTGGTAACGGCTTCCAACAGCGGACGTTCCCCTTCCTCTGGGTTCCCGAATGATCTCCGGCCTCAGCTACCAGCTTCTAACAGCAACAGCTCACAGTGACCAAACTGCATCAATCCTCTTAACTGCTTACCAGTTCACTTCACTCCACTGTACTCAACTGCATTGCACTCACTAACTAAACTGAGTCGGTCGCATGATATAACCTCGGAGTGGGCCACATAGAAAACATCGCTTCCAACAGTACTCCCATTGTTGTGCATGGGGCCACTGCCTAGCGGTGGCCATTGTCTCATCTGTATGCCTCAATATTAAGAAACCTATCATTCAGCATACCAATGAACCCTGATAATTACAGAATTCATGGTAAAATTCCCCATTTCTTAGTAAGAACTAAGTGATTGTACCTTGTGGTGTAAACCGTGCATCAGGAAGTGGAACATGATGAGGAATGGTGACGTTGCTGGTGGCTGCATATGAAACACCCAGCGATGTAAAGAATACTCCAGAATGGACCACATTATGATACCAGTCAGGAAACTGCACACTGCCCATAGCAGGCCCACACCATCTGCAACATGCAGTAAAGACACATCCTCAGTATGTTTCTTTGATTGTAGAATTTATCTCATTTAAAAAGTTTACGCCATATAAAAAGAATAGATGCAACAAGGATACTGCCAAGCAGGTTGTTGTAAAGGTAATGCTCTAAACTCATTTTAGAAGGTTCTCAGTTTGGATCTCAGCCAGGATACTGGGTATTCTGAGGTTTTTCATTGTTTTCATCAGTCCTTCCAGACAATTGATGGAATAGTACCTCAATTAGGCCATAGCCAGTTTAATCATACCCTTTCCAGTTCCTGTATCAGATAGCCTGACATTTGATGCTATATAATCAAATTATTGCCAGAATCTTGTAATAACCAAAAAGAAAACCAAGGATATCGAGAAGGGCACTAGAGTTAAATTTTAAATCAAGCTGGCCTGTTGAATGATCGAGAACAAGATGGTTGAGTCATGAAGTGGAAGAATCAGTAAAATGGGAATGATGGTAGAAATGGAAGAACAGGAAAAAAGATTTGACTTCCAGTTACAATCTTTGTTTTCTAACGTTCTGTAAATCACAATTTTCTGACGAGCCTTTGTAGTAACAGTAACCTTGTTATGAAAGCAATTCCAGTGAGGTATATATACTTTCCGAAGACATAATTTGTGTGTATGAATGTTCATGTGTTGCAGATAAAAATTCATTCTTTGTTTCTGTTGACTTATCCATATTGTATTGAACTCTTGTGGCGTGATTGTGGCATGTACTATGATTCATAACGGTAGTGGAGAAGTTTACTGTTGAATTTGATTCTCCTTTGGGTCTTCACAGTCTGTGGTCACAGCCACAGACTGTGAAGACCCAAGAGTGAAATTGGCATCAACAGTTAACCACTGTGAAAACCTAGAATCAGAAGTTGATTGTTGATAGAGCTACTCAAAAGTAAATGGATACATCATTTTTCTTTTGCATTTATTTGACTTTCATGTCCAAAAACATCAATAGTAGATAAATATTTTTGTGAACTGTGGTTTTCCAGCTTGGGAGGACACAATACAAAGTATCAGAATTGAATTTATTTTTATCATTTTGATCTGTAATTGATGTTTGTGGTATAAATGTGAAATTCCATATTTCCTGATCTTGTCTCTACTAAGATTCAGTAGCACTAATTGGGTTGTTTGCGCTGTACTACTGACTTTTAACATTAACCCCTTGAAGACATCTTTAACTGGCATCCTCCTTACCCTTGCAGCTGAAATTGAATGGGAGCAAGTTTCTTCTGTCACACTGTTCTCTTAGTTTTATGTCTTTGATGTAAACTGAAAAAGTAGAATGCACTGTTTTGTCAAGGAAACACCACACAAAAGCATGAGTCTTCTGTCTGTTGGTGACAGTACAAAATAGTAGCACACTGAGTCCAAACTTCAAAGTGTCTCAGAGGTGTGGTAAAGCTGTTTGATCAGAGCAGCTGACCATGTCTGATAGATGATATTGATCGATATTGGGTTAATTTCATGTTATACATCATTCATACAACTCTGTCATTAATATCTGGGCCTAGCTGTTATTAAAAAAATGAAGATGATTTAATTTGCCAGGAATTAGTCATATTTTGGTAGATTTGATCCAGGCAGGAAATAAAATGTGTTCTGAGACTGAAACTTATTTACTGTATTTGAAATTAAGAATTGCCACGGCAAGGATAGTAATGTATTATTATAACTAGGGTGTATTTATGAAGAGCTTACTAACTTGAGTTGAGCAGTAATAAAGTGATGTAAAGGCATATCACTATTATCCAAATATATAAAAAAATTGTTTCAACATTCTTTCAGGGCTGACTCCATAAATACCTCGTAATCAAAATTATTGATGTTCATTAATGTGGATTTTGACATAATAGACCAACTAAGATGTTCTGTACGAATAGAATGCCGGAAGAAATTGGGGTACACCGGGACTTCAGGTATTTGTGGACTTTTAAGTTTGTGTCTGATTTAGGAGAGAAATACTGTACAACATTTCTAAAGCAGAGTTTTGCAGCAGCTATACACGTAAAGCATCTCCTTTTTAAATCACCAGGTGTCATTTGAACACACTTAATTAGCTCAACTGAGAGTATACCAAAGTGTGTTCGAATGAAATCTGTTGTGATCTTAAAAAGGAAATGCTTTATAGCTGCTGCGAAACTGTGCTTTAGAACACATTATTAGGAATGCCAAGAAGATGGAGAAATTGGAATTGAATGTGACATGCAAGCTGAAGACTGGAACAGTGGAATGAATAAACCCAGTCTCTGCTAGGCAATGTTGCTGTAAACATGTGTCCGTGGCAGTAAGTTGGACATCAGGGTTCACAGTTAGCTGTCAGTGAGTTGCATTGTTATAAGCCGCTACCTAGTAACGTCTAGTGAAGAGACAGAAGACTTTATATGTGCCGTAGTTGTAGTGATCTGTAAAGTGTGTGAATCTATGGAACTGTTATAATTATTTGTTTATAAGGGTTCATTAAATCCTGTAATCAATCTAAACCCTGTATCTAGTCACTAACATCTGACAGTGTGTTTTTAGGTAATTTTACATGATTTACTGCACAAGTGACTTCATGTTTCTGCTTTAAATTTGTCTATAAATAATACTGTTCTGCACTTAGAAATTATCGAATATTATCCCCTTTAAAATAGTCCCCCTGCATGGCAATGAACCTCTCCCACCACCTTTACACCTTTAGAAGCACTGTTCAAAGTATGTTCTTTGTCGCATTAGTGACGATGTATTCCACTGGGTGAAATCTTCTTCCTTTATGGGTAATTTTTAGTTTAGGATATAGAAAGAAGTTGGGAGGGGGAGAGCACAGCTGAATTGGGCGTTGTGGAAGGGTAGGAATTGAATATTTTTCCAGAAATTGTCTAATTGACAGAGTTGTATGAGCAGACGCATTATCGTGATAGAGGAGCCAGCTTCCTTCAGTCCACATTTTAGGTCACTTTCTTCATACTGCATCCCACATACATCTCAGAACTGCCAAATAAAATTCTTGATTAATTGTCTGAACTTTAGGAATGAATTCATAATGCACAATTACTCGATGATTGAAAAAAAAAAAAAACAAGCAGTGTTCCTTCCACTTGTGAGTGCACCTGTAGTGCTTTCTTGGGGCAAAGCGAAGCAGTACTCTTGAAGTGTGAGGATTGTTGTTTAGTTTCAACATCATAAGCGTAAACCCATGTCTCATCACTGGTAATGACATGTTTCAAAAGATTTTTGTCATGATCTACTCTTTGGGAGAGGTCTCAGCTAAGAGTCATGGCAAAAATTTTCCTGAGACCCAATGCAATCCTAAATGTTCTGTTAAAATTGTGTGGCATGAAGCCGTGGATATTCCAGCCTCTTCTGAAACTTCTCTGACAGTCAGTCGATTTCTGCAGATAATGTTTTTCATCTGGGCAATTTAGAGGTTCAAATCTTAAAGTTTGTCAGCCATGCAGCTCATCATCTGTTGAATTTCTTCCAGTTCTAAAACATTTGAACCATTCATAGGTCATTTGACTTGGGGCATCATCATTGTAAGCTTCACTCAACATGTGGGTTTCCGCAGATGTTTTCCCTACTTTGAAACAAAATGTAATACAAATTCTTTGCTCCCTTACAGACCCATAATTAATGTGGCAATAGAACAATACTTTTGATCACAAAACCACTTATAAAACCTAAACAGAATGTCTGATCTATTTGAAACAAAAGCTTGCATAATTAACAGTCAAGTTGCAAGTTCACTCAAACAATACCTAACATGACTGCTGCCCTGCGCCCTCATTTCAGGAACTTTCTGAACAAACCACCTATAAGAATTGGAATTAGTTACATCTGTAACACTGTGCCCATAGGACATAGCATTTATATGTAGTTATAAATCTCATGCAGATCACAATTACAGGTGCTTATCTTACTACTCTGATTTGTCAGAAAATAGAAAGCAGCACTTAATCAACCTGGTTGTTTTAGTGGTACTGCTGTGGACTTATGTTTGAGAGTTGTGTAGTTTGAATTTTTATTGGGACACCAACTTTCTTTGCTGAGATTTTTTTTTTTACTTCCTCAGTCTCTACAGGTAAATGCCATAGTTGACTGTTTAGGCCATGACTACTTCCTTCCTAGTTTTCCATTCATCATTGATCAGTTGATGATTTGACACTATATAGTGTAGATATTGACAGCATTGTAAAACAACCCACAAGAAAAACAGCAGTGTTAATAGGTATGGTATATATCTCATTGTGAGATATTTACCTTTGATAAATGGATGATAACAAATCTATATAAGAAAAAGTAAAGGTATCCCTGTAACAGCTCATGGAGACCCATAGGGTTGTGAGGTATCACGGCTCCCACATTTCCTAGACAGTTGGCTCACAGATGGTGGTGAGGTTGGCAGCATTATGCACCGGCTGCCCTTTACCCCAGGAAGATTCCTGGTACTCGTTTCTGTTAAGAGTCTGAGTTGACCCAAGAGCCAAAGTGTGGCTGGAAGGATTAGGTCAATCGAAATATCCAGTATCCTCATCAGGAAGCTTACCTCCAGCGTTCCAGCTTGTAGCTTAGTGCCTCAACCAACTGTGCTACCACGTGCCCTTAACAAATCTGTATTGGTTGTATTTATTGAAGGTGTTAGCATTTGCACTATCCAGACTATCCAGCAGTGAGCAGTAGGATAATTACTGAATAATGCGTGAGAAACAATGAAATAGTAGGTAATCCTGACCTAATTAGAAATTTTATGTCAGCATTTGCCCAGAGGGACTGAGGAAAGCTGCAAAGAAACTAAATCAGAATAGTCAGTGTCCCAGTCAGCACTTGAATCAGGCACCTCTCAGATACAAGTCTGGAACTTTAGGACCTGAGCCAGCTTTCTTGTTAATAACATATATCACAAAATGCAAGTGTATTGGAGTTCCAGGTGGCTAGGTTTCCTCATATATTTGGTAATTTCATTATTAGTCTGTGTAATCCAGAAAACTGTTTGTAAAACTTTTAATGCTGTGGTGAGGACAGTGAGATTTGAGTGCTGGTAATGTACAGGGGGTGTTTCTCTTTACTATTGTATGTCCTCAACAGCTCTGAGACTCACCCAGCTTACTTGTATTCTAGGGGCTCTTTCTCAAGAGATAAAGGCAGCCAGATCTTTAATTTGGCTTTTCACCTGTATTCAATGTCAAGATTAAAGCGTGGAACGTAATTCTGTGACAGATAATGTTTTGTACAACACATGCTACTTGTTAATTCCATTTTTATTTTAAAAATTGTGTTCATGTGGATCTCTGAAAAGGAGCAGAACTTGTAACCTTTTAAAGCACAATTGTAAGTACATGTACTGCCTGATTGCACATTAAAGATGCTGCACTTTCCCCATATAATGTGTGCATGTGTTTTTTTTTTGTCATAAACGGCATGTATTTTTCCAAGTGCTCAGTATTATTAAGGTGAACTTGAGACTTTGAAGGGTCAAAGCCTCGTTTCCTGTTTCTCCACATGAGGTTCTGACAGCTGTCATGATGATACTACAATTACTCATACATGTTATGTGGGGGAACTAACAATCATTAACCTTCCAAATGCTGGTCTCTTAAAGGAATTATAAAACAGAACACCCTCTGGACTATGTTTCATAATGATTAGGTGAGGAGACTTTTCTTTTACTCTCATTCAGTAGTTTTGTATAAACATGATTACTGGGGCAAATTTTAACCCTTTAACCCACCACTGTTGTGGAGGAACCTGCTGCCTCCATCATCAGAGTTACTGCTGTGCCCTGAAGAGAGAGGCAGCAGGTTCCAAGAAAGGATTGGTGCCTGACTACCACACTACATGGTGTCACATCCCAGAAGACTGTAACTGCAATAGTCATTGCCCTGAGAACCTCAAATCTCAAGACATATGAGGTAGGAAATTAATTTCTGAATATTATTTGGATGATCACCCTCTGAACAAAAAAATGGTGAATTAAACTCACCGAAGCCAAATCAGTACAGATTTACTTTACAAACAAGAGGATTGCACAACAATCAGTCTTCATCAGTGGCACTCAAGTTCCATATGCCAACACAGTGAAATATCTTGGAATAACTCTAGACGCCAAGTTACAGTGGAAAGAGTATATCAAGAAAAACCGTGATGAGCTCAACAATAAGTTCAGAAAAATGTATTGGTTGCTTGGACGCAATTCTGAGCTATCAATCCACAATATACTTACATTATACAAACAAATTCTACGTCCAGTTTGGAGTTATGGTATCCAGCTCTGGGGCTGTGCCAGTGAATCCAATATTCAAGTGATTCAGTGCTATCAGAACAAAGTGCTAAAGGGTATTGTCAGCACACAATGGTACGTTCATAACAGTAACCATCATGACCTTGGGATCTAGATGGTTACAGATATCATTGCTAAGTCCGCCACCTCTCAAGAAAAGAGACTCCAAAATCATGTCAACATTGAAGCGTCCAGACTTTTCAACGTGAACAATATCATTAGATGACTCATACGGAAGAAACCATTGAAACTAGTAAAATGTTAAAGTACTAAGTAATTCAGTGGAAGTGACTTAGTTTTAATTTACATAGTATATTGGGATTAGAAAAAATTAATTGTTAGTTATCCAACTAGTTTTAATTGTAATTAAGTTCTGGATTACCCAGTCTTTAATTAATAAATAAAAAAATATTTGGATGAAGTTGAGACTTCAAAGAGGCAATTTCCTTATTGTTTTTAATGGCAGACATTGTGTGTCTCAGGGAGGAAACTGACTATTAATACTGATAAGATTAGACACCTGATGATGGCCAGTGTTGGTCAAAATATGTGTGTATTGTGCATGCACCAGTGATGTAGAAGAGATTTCAATGTTTAAAACTTTTAAACATTTTAGAAAGCAAGTTGCACGTGAGACAGTAACTAACCGGAACAAATAAGTGATGTGTAGCAGGATGCTACAATACAATATTAAGGTTATGTTTAAGTTTTCCTTTTAACATTTTTCTATATAATATCTATTATTGCATTAATCTTACACTTAGTGTTTGTTAAGTGGCTCAGCGTATGTTTGAGACTCCATCATTCTAGAGATTAGTGCACTCTGAGTTTAGTTTATAGCAATCTCTGAGATTTTAGATACAGCAGTTACTCTGAACAGAATTATCTTCTGGGATGTGACGTCATGTAGTCCAGTAGAAGTTCTTTTAACATTTCAGATGAACAAACTGCCTCAATCTTCAAAGTGTAAAGAGTCACCCTGAAGATGAAGGCAGCAGGTTCCACTAAACTTTAGAGGAACTGTCTGAGTTTTATATCACCATGTTTTCCTTAAACAGCACTGATTGATTGGTCTTTGTAATGGAGACGTAGTGTTTAGATTAATCTTCTGTGAGGTAAGGCTGTGTAATGTGGTAGACATGTTCTAATGCTTTAGAGTCTTAACGCATTAGACCAATCAATCAGTGCTGTTTAAGGAAAACATGGCGATATAAAACTCAGATAGTTTGGTATGCTTATCAAAGTTAGCAAACAAAAATTTATATATTATGGTTTTCTGGGATATGACACTGTGCAGTCTAGTAGTGGGTACCAACTTGAAGAAACATCGTACATCCTGTCATAGGTACCCACGTATCAAACTATTAGGTTTCATACCTAGAAGGCCAAAAACTGAATATTCACCACCAAGAGAACCTCAGACATTGTATCAAGTAAACGGATTATTTTTTGGACATTGTATTTCATTAAATTTTTTCTCTGAACCACTTCTCTACATCATTAGAACAGGTGACTGATCTTACTGCATATCACAATTATGTGGGTAGTCGTAGATTAGTGCAAGAGACTGTTTATTTATGGTTTATTTAATGGCATTATCATTATCTCAGGCACTACAGAATCAGTCAGGAGAGTAGAAATTGGTGTCTGCAAGTTAATGATTAACTGAACCCCGTGTAATAAACATATACAAATTCTTGTGTTCTGCTGGATTATAAGACTGTGTTCCATGTAATGGAAGGTGGAAGCAGGACATTCCTCCAAAATGCAATTACCTGCATACCAGATTGCGTGGTGTAATAATCCGGAAGACCACAATATGTATCTTCATTGCTATGAAAACCCTAATTTTATATGTAAATTTTACCAGTATGTAATAATGATGGTAACTTTACCATTAATTGCCTGTTGATTCATCAGCCATCCCCGATAAATGAAAAATATGCATACAGGAATCCACACAATAGGAATCAAGTACCAGGGTGTCATAGACATGTTCTCTGCTATGTCCGAGTAGAATAACCGCAGCCTGCGGTCCACAGGAGAAGACACCCATTCTTCGTAGCATGGTCCTAGCTTGCCCACTTGACTAAGCATTGGTTTGCTCCAGTCAACCAGCTTCTGTAATGCAGTATTTTGTCATAAGGCTTGTTACACTTCATAGCCTGCCATCTCTTAGGCTATGTGGTGTCACATTCCAGTAGAATGAAACCTTAATTTTAAATTGTGTGAGAACCTCAAATCTTGTGACATTGGCTTGTTGACAACATGTAGGTCTATTTTCAGTCCAACAGTTAAGAGTATGGAAGGTGACAGTATATTGAAGTTTAAAGATTTGAGATTCTTACAGCGGTGACTGGGAACTATCATCTGGAATGTGCCATTGTTAGTCTGGCAGGAGTTTTTGGATGTTTTCCGCTTGCTTGATTCACTTGCAGTTCGATCCTGTAGATGAAAACATTACATTCATCCAAAATGCTAATAATAATGTGACAGTGACATGAAATATTTTAGGGATAATTATGGGCTGGACCACCAGGGTTTGGTTCCAGGAAGGGGCAGGATTTTTCTCTTCTCCATAACATCCAGTCCAGCTCTAGGGTCCACCCAGCCTCCTATCTAACAGGTACTGGAGGCTGTTTCCCCAGGGATAAAGTGTCGGGTGTGAAGCTGACCACTCCCATCTAGACATAAGGCCAAGAATAGTGGAGCTGTACCTTCACTCCCCCATTCCTCTTCATGGCATGGTGCTTAATTAAGCAAAAGGACAACTTTACATTTTTTTACCTTTTTTTAAAGTATGTTTCAAACACATATTCTGATAGCACTCTAGGTTTGTGGTTCCAAAACTCTTGGTCTGGGGCTTCCTGTGGTGTGAATAAGAAAACTTGTGGGTCCCCCAGTCTCTGAAACTGAGTTAAATTGTGATTTAGCAGGTGTCTTTTTGTCATAATTCGTTATCTAATTATTTCAACACATTTTTTGTCATCTTATTGTTTATTTAGGATTAAAACCAATATTTGGTGTCAACCCATTTATTGGCGGCATGTGAAGGAAGCTTAATTTCCCCAAGGGGGCTCCCGCTTTGGGAAAAGCTGCAGTAAATAGTTTGACATTTAATCAGTTCTGTACACACTGTACATTTGAAATGCTTGAATTTTTTGGAAAACATTGGAGAAAATAGGTTGGGGGGGGGGGGATGAAATGTCACAGATCCAAAACACATGTAGACAGAGGTAACATGCCATGTTTCTATGGAATATTTTTAACAAGCTGATACATACAGCATGTTAAAGAAAGGGTTACAGGCTTTAAGGAGGTATAGTACTCACTTAAATGAACAAAGAAGCCCCAGTCAACATATGTCCAGATATCAGTGCCTGCTGAGATATGGACAAGTTTTCGAGAGTTTTGCATTTCCCTTGTTCATTCTACCCCCCCCCCCCAAGTGATTTATTCCAGACAAAGAGCAAACTTTTCTAAAAAGAACTAATGATTTACCTTCCTTTCACTGCAATTTGAATATTTGATATGACAAATGGGAAAAGATGTTAGTGTGTATGCATAACGATGTCACCAATACCAGACTTGTTAATAATACAGTCTCAAGTATAAATATTGAGGGTAAACTATGTAACAATGTGCAAATAATAGTTGATATTATTAATAATTATTTTTCTGCTCCATTACCCCAAACTCAACCTAGCTCATCCTCTAAGGTCATGGATTCCTTAAACTATGTCTTCAAGGTATTTCAACATCCATTCCCTAATATAAATTAAAGACATAATTAAGTCTTTAAAATCGAAGAGTTCACATGAATATGACAAGATTCTGCAAAATAGTTTGAAAAGAAGCCTACCATTTATTCTGTCTCCATTAACTTATATATGTAATAAACTACTGAGCCTCAGTATTTCTCCAGACTGCTTGAAGTATTCTCAAATTAATCCCATCTATAGAAAGGGTGACAGGTCTGATATTGTGAATTATTGAGCCATATCGATGTAAATGATATACTGGTGCAAGAACAATATGTTTTTCAAACTAAATCAACTACGATAATTGATACAAGCTCCGTCCCAAGTGCAAACAATATATATTATATGTCTTTGATATTGTTCTTTCTACACTACATGTTTCGGCCTCTATCGGCCATCATCAGGTGTATACTCTTAACGTTGCTGCCACACTGAACCCAGTCTAAAATTTAACACAATGTCACTTTCTTCGTATTATCAACATCTACCTCGATATGTGTCTGGTATGTAGATTATATTGCACACGTCAAATTTGATATTCCTGTAGTAGCACTATAGAATCTTTAGTTATGATGTTTTTAAAAATCCTTTAAAATTTTCTCTAAATTTTAAATTTAAAATTTAAAATTGTTAGGGTTACTCGCCCTATGTCTAAAGTGCTGGAGCGGCTAGTTCTTGTTTCCACACTGTACAGGTGTTATTCTATGTAGTCTTCCTGTGTGGGTGCCGCTGCTTGTCTTCACTACGTGTGCTGTCTGCTGTACACAATACACACACAATACAGCAAACAGCACACGTAGCAAAGACAAGCAGCGGCACCCACACAGGAAGACTACATAGAATAACACCTGTACAGTGTGGAAACAAGAACTAGCCGCTCCAGCACTTTAGACATAGGGCGAGTAACCCTAACAATTTTAAATTTTAAATTTAAAATTTAGAGAAAATTTTAAAGGATTTTTAAAAACATCATAACTAAAGATTCTATAGTGCTACTACAGGAATATCAAATTTGACGTGTGCAATATAATCTACATACCAGACACATATCGAGGTAGATGTTGATAATACGAAGAAAGTGACATTGTGTTAAATTTTAGACTGGGTTCAGTGTGGCAGCAACGTTAAGAGTATACACCTGATGATGGCCGATAGAGGCCGAAACATGTAGTGTAGAAAGAACAATATCAAAGACATATAATATATATTGTTTGCACTTGGGATGGAGCTTGTATCATTTATCGTGTAGAGTGCAACAGGATGCTTAAATATAATATTGTAAATCAACTACCAATATGGCTACCTTTACCTTAATAAATAATATCCTATTGGCAATTAATAACAAATTAGCTGTCGGAGGATTATTTTGTGATTTAAACAAGGCGTTTGACTGTGTCAATCACGACATACTGCTTGCTAAATTGGAGTTTTATGGCATCAATAGTATAGCAGGGAAGCTGATTAAATCTTACTTGACTGATAGATATCAAAGAACTTTAATAAATAATAATTATAGAAAGGGCATTTCTGAATGGCAAAAGGTTAAACCGGGTGTTCCACAGGGTTCGATAGTTGGGTCTTTGTTTTTTCTGTTATATATCAATGATCTGCCTTATTTAGTAAATAAATCATCCATACCATTTTTGTGTGTGGATGATACTAGTATACTGTGTTCTAATTCTGATTCCACAGAACTTGAAACTACCTTGAAAGTGATTCTGCTAAAAATAAATGAGCAGTTTTCACAGAATTCGCTAACGCTAAATTTAAGTAAAACCAATTGTGTCTACTTTGCAATAAAATTGAATCTTTGAAAAACTTAAATATTGTGACATGTTGCGCAAAGGAGAACCCCCCCCACCAGCAGTGACGCGGCGGGTGAGTCAGCGCTCCCCTCCCCCTCCTCCGCACGGCAACGTAACGGTGATGCAACAGGATTGCGAGAGACGACGGTAGTAACAGCGGTTACTACTGCTAGCGTTGCTAGCAACACAGCGCCAGGCAACAAGGGTGCTTATTACGTGGCCGTTTTCTGTGTTGTCCGATCGAGGCTACATGAGGAGCAGCGAAGGCTATTCACAGTGAGTTCTCGAGCTACCTCCGAGTCAGTCCTCGAGCTACCTCCGAGAGAGTTCCGAGTTAGCCAGCAACCAGTCAGTTGTATTCTGGCATTTGGAGTGTACTAGTTGTGATACTGCAGATAGCAGTAATCGTGAATCTGTGATTTGGGTGATTGTAAGTGCGAATGTGAAATAAAATTCGCTATATCAAATACGGCGTGAGTTATTTGTCGCGTTATACGCACAACACGTGACAATATAATATATAGTGATACTTTAATCCACAACACTTGTAATGTCAAATTTATTGGACTAATCATTGATAGTTCTTTGTCCTGGAGAGATCATATTAATCAACTAGTAATTAAGCTCAGTTCAGCTGTCTATGCCATCAGAACTTTATCTTCCGTTGGGTCCCAGGAGAGTCTAGTGATGACATATTATGTCCTATGAAATTATATTTTTGGACAATTCTGCCAACAGTAATTTAATTTTTAAAATTCAAGAAAGAACAGTTAGAATCATTATGAAAGCTAGAAAAATGGACTCTTGCCATCCATTGTTTAGGTATCTAAATATTCTTCCATTTTACTCACAATACATATATTTTCAATATCCATGTTTGTTGTTAAAAATATGGATACTCTCACACTAAATTGTGATATACATAGTATCCATGCCAGACAAGGTTTGGATTTACATCATTCAACTTATAAACTAACTAAAGTCCAAAAAGGTGTCTACTGTTCCAGGATCATGATGTTTAATAATTTACCACAGAATCTTAAGAACATGACAAATGATGTTAATAAGTTTAAACATGCCTTAAAAATCTCCATATTGGCTCCTTTTACTCATTGCGGGGAAAATCTAGATTGGAGAATAATGGAAAACCTTGCTTCTTGTAAATAATTTATATTGTGATTGCTGATCTGATATGGTTTTTTGCGTGGCTGATGTAATCTTTTGTCTTGATTTTTATGCAGCTTTTCGTTTTAGTAAGCATTATTTAGATGTATTGTTTACCTGTAGAATTGCCTGTATATGTTTTTACTGATAGTGTTATGATATGACAAGTCCTGTATCAATGTATTTTGATTTATGGGAAAATAAAGTAGAGAAAGAAGGAAATAGAACAATACAATTGAAGGGGCTGCTGTGTTGGTGTTACTGGTGGAATTTATGAAATATGGCATTGGCATGATCTCAGGTGGCATGATATACATATTGTGGTGTGCTGTGAGAGACAGCTGGAATAGGTTAGGAGATCAGGGTTGATTTCCTAGGAAATGACCAGCATTCCCACTGCAACACCTAGGAATTGGAATGCATCCATTGGTATACAACGGCTGGCAATATCCAAGCAACGAGTTGTTTGAGGCAGCATTTTGCACAGCAGCAGGCGAGGTTAACCCTTCAACAAAGTGTTACCTGTTCAGTCCAAGTGCACGTTAGAAGAGTCCAACTGCGACAAGATAATAGTTCAGTTTGTATTTGACTAGAACAGCAGAGAGTTCTTATCCAGAACAAGAGAGAGTTCTTATCCAACTAGAACAGGAGAGAGTTCTTATCTGACTAGAACAGGAGAGAGTTCTTATTCGACTAGAACAGAGAGTTCTTATCTGACTAGAACAGGAGAGAGTTCTTATCTGACTAGAACAGCAGAGAGTTCTTATCCAGAACAGGAGAGAGTTCTTATCCAACAATGGCTAAGGACAGTTGAGCTCCGAGAAGAAGACACTTCACTGAGATTAGAGGTGCAAGAAGTGCTGTAACATTGAAGAGGAAATGTCTGATGACATTATAAGTTGAGAATAATTGCAAGCATGAGTGTAAAAGTGACTGTCCAATAAAGGTATTCATTCAAATCCAAGGACCCACACAATTTCTTGTCACATTGCCTAGCAAACACGCAACAATATTAAGTCTCAAAAAGACTGGTACAGATGTTCAAGTAAGAGGCCCACAATGTTGGCATTACTGATGGGAGAGATTTATGAAGTACGCTGTTCGACATTGCCATGTGTGAGCTGATGTACATATCAAGTTTCACGAGAACAGGTGTTCAAGCAATACCGAGATTTCTCCTCAAGAATCTGTGGGCCTGCAGTGTTTGTTCAGGTGCCAGTACTAAGTTTCATGAAGATCGATTCATGCATTCAAGTGTTATTTAGGACACACAGCAGTGTGATCTCATAAGCATGCTTCTATTTTTTTAAACTAGGGAAAGTAGCCCAAGAATTTAACTAATGAGAAATAAGTCAGATTTCTATACCTCCAAATCCTCAACAGCAGAATTTTGTGACATGCCATGCAGTCTGTATTCTCTCATAAGGTAGGTGGCAGCAGCAGAATGGTTAATGTCATGAAATTTCTTGGTGATTGAGAGCCCCTTATATGGTGACACAGAGTTCCGCCCACCTGGGTGAAACTTCAGAAACCTTGCAATGTCATATGTTTCTCCTTCATGTTTTATGATGAACTTCTCTTCAGTGGCATGTGTTGTAGCATTGCCATTGCTCACAGCCATCATATTTCATGAAGCTGTATTGGCCAGTCTTAATCTGGAAGGAAGAAAATACAAATTAAGATGGTGTTCCTGCAGGATATGATTCCATACAGTCTACAAAATACAGTTACCCGTGTTTCACAGAACATACTGCCTCCATTTTTAGGGACAATTAAACCCTGAAGATGAAGTCAGTATGGTCCTGCAAAACACTGGTGAACATGAACAGTCGTATACCGGACCACTGCCAAGTTTAAGCCTCTTATACTTTCTCTGTCTGGCTTCTCCTTGTCCAATATTGCAAACATTCTCATTATCATGATTTTGTATGACTTCTGCTTGTTTCCTGCATAATTTTGTTATATAGTCATATATGTACGGGATTTTGAATGCCATGTGCAAATTGTGGACTGGTGTGTGCCTTGGAGAATTGCCAGTGGTGCAGAGAACCTTGTTTTGCAGGCGCTGCAATTTCACTAGATGGGTGTCTGCCGCAAACTCCCAGGCGGGACTAGCATAAGTCATTACGGATCTAATAAGAGCTTTCTGGAGGGTCAGTTTAATATTAACGCTCAATTGCTCACTTCTGAATAAGGAATACACTCTAATGAATGTTCTGAAGGCCTTGGCTTTGATCATTTATATGTGCAATCTCCATGTAACTCTCTTATCGAAGGTTACACATAGATATTTTGCATTATTTACAATTGGAATATTTCGTCCATTTAGAGTGAGACAAGATTCAGGCGGTCGACAGCCACGAGAGAAGTAGACCCCCTGAGTCTTAGTTTCATTAATTTTAATATTCCAGCGCTCACACTCCCAGTGCAGTCTTTCTCGGGTCCCAGTCCCTTGGGACTCGTGACCATATTTTGCTGTCTCAGATTTGAGATTTCCCTCTTCGTCGCCACCTACAACTCACAGGGTCACCTTGGAGGTATTTGACCCCGCCCCCACACGGGTTTGCAATCTGTTCAAAGGCAAAGAAAAGGTCGTATTGTGACTGATGGTCAGTCAATAATTCTTGGTGTCAAGCTCCATCTGGGGCTCATGACCAGGTATTTATTACTGTTTGGCAGTTATGGTCTTGTTTTTGTGGGGCGCCCTCTCTGATGAGAGGATGGGTCTGTTTGTTGTATACGCTGCTGGTCCTTGCCAGCACAGTCTTTCTCGGGTCTGAGTCCCTTGGGACTTGCAACCATATTTTGCTGTCTCAGATTTGACATTTCCCTCTTCCATCGACTCCTACGACTCGCAAGGTCACGGTGCAGGTATTCGACCCCGCCTCCACACGGGTTTGCAATCTCTTCTGCCTCTAACTGTCGTTATATAGCCTCCGCACCAACCATGCATGGAAAATGGGGTATATTGTTGCAACGTGTTTACCGAACGATTGCATAGCAACAGTCGCAGCACGGACTGCATAGAAAGCCAGTCATGAGATAACTAGTACTGTTGCAGTGTGATGTCATTGCACCTGCACTGAAATTTATTTACTGAACTGTTGCCTAGAAGCAGGTTGCATAACCTCGTTGAGTGCACTTACATGACTTAAGGTTGTTTTCAGGTTGTTACCTGGCCACCGTTAGGATAAACACATCGAGTCATGTCCCTTCCAACTCTTGTTGTGTAATCTGTAGCTCACTACTGACTTTGTGAAGGCTTGGGTCTAGCTGCTGAACCACCATAATGGCGCCCTTCATCTGTCTGTGTCAGGTTTTATTTTATATTTTTTTGTTCTTCCTGTCTGGCATTTGTGTCCTTTTAAAGTTATGCTTGGATGGCCGCCAGCTGGTCTTAGTCTGCATTTTTCATGCTTAATTGTTCCAAAATCGCTTACAGAGTGGCATCCCTCTTCAGTTGAACTTCTAACACAAGTTGTAATGTTTATCTTGGTTCAAAACAGTCAATATCTGGTTATCAGTAAGGTACCTGAGATCCTGATATGAGCTTGTCTAGTCCACCACTATTTCACTATGTCACTGCACTGTTTTCATTTTTATCTTGCACTGAACACTGCAAATTTGTGCACTGTCAGCTTCACATCTAGATCCTCGTGCACTGTTGCCCTGCTTCTCAGCTCATGATTACACTCAACACAATTTCCTTTTTGTCCTGCAACCAAGGTTCAATACAGGTAATATTTGTAGACGGGTCAAGTGTATGAACAAGAGACGAAGCAACTGCGTTCTTGGAAAATGCAGTGAGGGAGGTCTGGAAGTCCTGATGAGTGAGACACCCGGACATGCTGGCAGGTGACCTGTCACCCCCACTACCCCACCCACACTCATGCTGCATGAAAATATCACCGTATTCCATTATTCCATTTCATATACATTGTTTTGATTTCAACGAAATAGATGAGGCCTTTATGGATAACTGTATAACATCCTCCACTACCTACTTATGTCATCTGTTCTTGGCTCAGCTACTTCTCTGGATACCTTGGTTTTCCTACTCTTTGCAGTTTAATATATCTCAGAAATGAGACCATGCTTGAAAGCAACAGAACTTCCAATTTCATTTATATCTTAGTGTTTGGTATTCTGGCAAACAGTTTCATCCAAATATTAAGAAGCATTTCCTGAATTACTATCTAATTTGAGCATGAATCTCGGTTTTATATAGATTTGGAGGTTTCATAACAGTGGTAATTCTCATGGTTGTGTTCTGAATTATTATGTCATTTTCGCTGGTAAAGGGGTACCAATGTTTTGGAGGACCATTCTGCCCCTATCTACAGGATCGAATTAAGCCAAATAGGTAATATGGCATGTTTTAATTCTTACCCGCTCCCCCTGCTGGTGTAATTGCCCTTGTCTGGACCTACAGTTCCCACTGGTCTGCCTTTACCCTGGTTTCTCGTTCCTCTCTTCATGTCATTTGCCTCTCTTGTACGCCATGAATCGTTTTCTTTCACACCACATCTACATAACCCTCCAGTTTTCCCTATTTGGATGATTTCTGCCTGAAGATGGCAGTAATGTGTTCTTCCAAAATGTTGGTGCTCATCTACCTTGTTGTGAGTACAACACATCATTGTAACCTAGAAGACCACAGTGTGAGTAATTTTTTTGTCTGTTTCATATCAGGAAGAAACACAGAAACTACCAAATTGTTAGATTTGTCTCGGGATTGCTGAGTTTCTGGACTTTGTCCATTGCATACTATCCTGAAAGAAAGCAGTGTTTTGGAAATTTCATCTGTTTCCATCCTCAGGTGTAAAGATGGTGAACCACATCGATTCGAAATAGCTAATCTCAGTAGCTCTTTCTGTCAGGTCCTACAGAGTAGATTCATCCTCATCCTGTCACCTGAGGATGAAAACAGATCCCTTTTTCAAAATATTATGGTCTATCAGAATATTAAATGATGGACAACCTAAAGAAATTTAGTAATCCTGAGTATAATATGAGTACACCATTGTCAAAACCATTTAGAATTTATTTTATATTTGTATAATGAAGAAAATATTTTTATACCTTGGTTTATGCAGAGGGAACTTGGCTGTAGTGTACTCATACCTCAAACCGAAACATTGGTATGGCACAGATATGCAGGATGTGAGCTATATTCAATACAAGGGCACTACATCTGTTTTTTACATGTGACATAAGGTGAAACTGCCGACAAAAAAGTTTAATGTTATCAGCCAAACAATCAGCCTGGTTTGGAATGTGTAGGAAATCATGATGTGTGGGAATAGCTTCCTGTGTCATTGTTATGAACACTGGCTCAACTGTGTATGTTTAGAGATGAAAAGATAAGAATGTAATATATGTATTTGAATTAAGCAGTATTATGTTTTGTTAGTTTTCACTGGAGTTTTATTTTGTTGTAAGAAATTAAGGATATTAAAGATACTGAAAACAAAAAATGTTTGATGTTGTCATTTCAGTGACTATTTAGATCACAGTCTTCTGTAACCTATAGTTTGGTAGATAGGTGCCAATGACTTAGAGAAACATGCTGCGAGCATGTCATCGTTTCTACCCTAAACATGGACAGCAGTTTCCTCTGAAACACTGGTAGTTATCCACGAAACTACATGGAGCTACATCCAAAAAGACCATGATATGATCACAATGGTTTCATTTTATGTCAGTGATAGGAGTAACTCTTAAGAAATAAGGTACAAGAACAATTGAAAATAACCAGTGCAGTGGAAACCATATTAAAAGTAGAAGTGAGGTCATATTTCTTCTTCCATGAAGATTGAAGGGAATTGCTTGACCTGCTAGGTGACTATGATAACAAGAGTCCTATTCCAAGAAGCTAGATTTAATAAAAGTCTTCAGTAAATGAACAAAATGAAAGTTGAAGACACTGGAGTTCCATACATTTTTTATTAGAAATTAAAAAATAAACTACAGACAAATGGATTGAACAATTAGATTACAGTATACCATAAAGTGAAATTAGATACAGAACAAATAGAACAAGAGCACATTGATTGCTATATGTACCACCTGCTTTACCATTAAAAAATTCTGCATTCTCTTCACATCAAGTATTAATGTCTTTTGGAATATTTTCACACAAACAAATTCTTCCCCTATACAGCATTAATCAGTTTGTCTTTGTAAGTGAGATGTGATTTGTTTCTTGTGAGATAGGAACTGAAGTTTTAAATATTATTTAGATGGACTTCATGCTATTTAAAATGCAAACATTCAGATAAATAAAACTATAATTTTGTCTGTGTTTTGTATGTGTGTGCAACTTGGTCTTTAATATGAAGGAAGAACATGCAATGAGAGTGTTTGAGAACAGGATGCTGAACAGATTATTTGGACCTAAGAGGAAGGGACAGGAGGATGGGAAAATTGCATAAGAGCTTCATAATTTGAACTCTTCACAAAGTGTTATTAAAGGTAAAAGAAAGGTTAATTTGTCCCTGTGCTAAATTAAGTATGCACTATGCCCTGAAGATGTAAAATAATAATAATAATAATAATAATTCAATTCAATTCGTGTTTATTTACCTGCAGACTTAACAGCACAGAGGCCAAAAACAAAGTAGGCACGGATACATAGAAATAGAGATATAACTAAAAGACAAAATACAAATAAGACAGTCTATATAATGACATTAAATTAATAATAATACCAAGAAAAATTAAAGTTAGCATTAACAGATGAGAAAATAAAATAAGTACATTTTGAATGGTTATTCCATTATGTGGTCAATACACATACACACATAGAAGTTAATAGTAATAATAATCCAATTCTTATTTATTCGTGTGGCAGCTCAACATCCTAATTCAATTCAATTCAATTCATGTTTATTTATGTACAACTTAACACCACAGAGGCCAATTAAAAGGTTAGCATGAGTACATAGAATTACATAAAAATAATTAAAAACAAATAATAATAATAATAATAATAATAATAAAGGGGAGTCAGTTTAGAGATACTTGTGATCTCGAACTTGTCACTGATTGGAGGTGAGTGGTTAGCTTCATGCACCTGCTGCTTTACTCCTGGGGAAAGATCCCCCTGTACCCATTGGAGAAGGGGCTTTGTAGACCCCACAACCACTCTGGATGATGTAGAGAGGAGAAAATCTTGTCCCTACCGGGACTCAAACCCAGACCCCTCATCCAGCCTGCCTGTAGCCAGTTGCTATACCAACTGATCTATCCTGGCCACCAATTATTAAAAGAGTGGTCAAATCAAGGAGGGCAATATGGGTAGGGGTATAGCATGGATGGGAGCAGGGAGAAATGTGTATAAAGTTTTCATTGGAAAACCTTAAAGGAAGACCAAAGCAGAGGTGGTAGTATAATATTGTAGCATATTTTTTTGGATTATTAATTGTATTGTATTGTATTGTAATTGGTTTATTTAACAACCTACAAGTCGTAACTAGAAATAATTAGAACACTGTTACGGGTTTACACAATTTACAACCCTACACAATAATCAATTCACTCTGTCCTCAGTAGTCTACACGTTTTTATAACGCGGGAGTTATACAAGTGCAACTGTATCACACACTCCCAATTATTTCTCAGTTATCACGAACTGTCACTGATTATCACACACGCGTCCGGTTCTTTCCGCGACTGCTGCTATACTCCAATGTCTTCGTAGGCAGTGTTGTTCTCTTATAAACCCTCAGTCGGACAACGGGAAACGCCTCGCTTCCTTGTTGCCTAGTCGCCGTGTTTACAGGTGTTACTGGCAACGCTGTCGGGAGTTGTTTACGGCTGCACAGCAACCGCGCCATCCCTTGGTCACGTCACCACCTGCGGGGTAGGGGAAGGAGTGTTGACTTGCCTGTTACCCTAGTAACGACAGCGCTCCGATGCCGCCACGTCACCGCTGGAGAGGGAGGGGTTGTCCTCCATAGCACAATATGCCACAATATTATCATTCATTAAGTGACTACACATGAGGTTTGGATTGGTAATCAGATTTATTGGACTCTTATAGGCCGTAACTATAAGTAACTATAACGCTGTCGCTAATTCACGCACTCTTACAGTTCATTACAGCATGCACTAAGTCTCTGATCTGCTGTATCTTCAGCAGTTGTTGCCTGGTAACACTCCTAATGCTGTAGATCCTCAGCTTCCATGTTAGACAGCTCCGGTCCTCGCTGTCTGGTGCCTGTCTCACAACTCAGTTTTTTGTTGCCTGGTCACAAGTCTTCTAATAAGGGCTATTCCCCACTCACTCAATGCTCAAGAGCTGCACTCACTAACCACTGTCTCAAGACTACCGCTCTGCCGCTGGCCACCTAGCTAGGGCCCAGGACATTCTTCCTCAGAGTGCTAACCAGTGACTGCTGAACATGGCATTGTGGCTAGACACTTCCAACAGTGGGGACTGCTTCATCTCTGGCTTCTCCACTGGTGACTCTCAGCCTTGGGCTGTCTTGGACTGTTTGCCAACAAACTTGAACTCAACTCGACTAACTCTGTTGTCTCAAGACTCTCATGAGTACACTTTGCAAATCACTATCACCTACAGACTAGTGTTCCCTGTCATGATCTTCACTACACTGCTGGGTAACATCGTCCAACAGTGGATGTTTCTCTGGTCTTTGGCTCGTGTCCAAGCAGGCTGGCAGCCATTTCACTTAACCTCCTTCTCTTCTAACTCCGCCTACTCAAGACTCATTCGCTTGTCCCATTGGTCCTCGTGATATAGCCTCAGGACGGGCCCAATGGAAAACACCACTTCCAACAGTTCTCCAGTTGTGTGACGTCACCACTATCATGAAGAGGTGTTTATTTCGCCATCATCTAAAACGGATGACATATATGATGACGCGGCATGGTGTCTGATGAAGTGTTCCTCTGTTGTGTGTAAGGGTGGTCATGGTCACATGACTTCCAGTGAGCCACTACCTAGCAACGGATGTGTTTACAGAGCAATTCCAATGTAATGGCTGTCTCTGCCGATGACACAGTTCCGGCTCTCAGCTTATGTCTGACAACATTAGAACTGATTTTAAAGAATAAGGTGTGAGGGTGTAGACTGGATTCATTAGAATCACGATGGGAACCAGTGGTGGGGTTCTTGTGAAAATGATAATGAACCATCACGTCTAATAAAATACTAGGAATTTGTTATATAATGGAGCAATTGTTATTTTGTGAAGGACTTCGCTCAATATGGTTAATTTGAATGGTTAAACAGGGAACATCAATTAAAATTGTGTGAAGATAATTTGTACTTTTGAATTTTCCCAAGTGATCCTTATAAATCCGACCGCCTCTGTGGCGTGGTGGTCAGAGTTCATGCCTACAGATCTAGAGGTCTGAGTTCGATTCCCGCTACCAGATTTTCCGAGAAGTAGTGGGTCTGAAATGGTGTCCAGTCAGCCTCATGAGGATAATTGAAGAGCTATTTCAAGGAAATAGCGGCTCTGGTCTAGAAAACTGAGATTAACGGCCATAGGGATTCATTGCGCTGACCACGTGATACCCTCTATCCACAAAAGTTGGCACTAACTTCGCCGACAAATGGCAGTTGCTCGGTCTTTATAGTTCACTTGTGAACTACAGGCCACAGAGTTTGTTTGTTTGATCCTTATAAGTCCACTTGTCAAATTTGGAGCAATGATTGATCATCCTAACTAATCTTTGGTACTCAGAAAAAGCGACTTTCCAAATGGCTTCATGATATGTATTGAAAGTAGTAATACAAATATTATAATATTGTGTTCCAAGAAGTGACACCATGTAGTTTGGTAGATAGGTAGGTAAATTTCAGAGGAACCTGTGTACCAGATGACATCACATAACGGATGTAATCTTAACCCAGAACTTAAACACCTTTTTGCTCTAACCTTTATATTCACTGCTGTGGGAACCTCAAATCTCATTTCAAATTTAACTGTCATATTCCATCTATGAGTGTATATACGGATGATATTACCAGTTTAACAAAGTTGTTTTATATGTACCCACACATTTATGAGCAAACAACATTATCAAGATTATGTATAAGGAATATTTACAAAACATTTTCCTCTTTCCCTTGTATGAGTACTGCCTGAATTGTTCTCTGGAAGCTGTTTTAAAACTGTGCCTATGTTTGTGTGTGACCTGCTTTCTATGCTATATTTGTGTTACCAGGGACATAAATAGAATGCAGTCTGTCGAGATGATGCACTAAGAGCACTTAAAGGCTCAGATTAGACTAGACTACAGTTATAATGGAGATAACTAGGAAATAATGAAAAATACAGTTAGTACAAAATAAAACACATGAATAATGGCAAAGTCCCATGGATAGAAGGACTGAGGAATGAAAATCAAAACATATTCTATAGTCAGGATTATTGGGTAAGAACCAAAAGATGCCAAGACTAAGGAAAGCCTTGGAAA